CGCGTTTGACTCTGGCATCGGAAGTGTGGTCAATGCCAAACATATGGAGCACATTTGAAAAAGTTTCAAGCACTGCAAGAGCTTCACAGCTTGTTCCATAAGGCTGACATGAACCGCCCGCCCACAGTATGAGTTGGCATCTCGTATAATTCGTTCCGCGTTCGTGATCTTGTCCTCGAGTTGACGCAACTGAGTCGAAGGGCGCTTAAGATGGATGACATAGAGGAGAGCGACGGAGACAGCGAGAGTAAGTAGGGAATAACGTAGTGCATCGTTTGGTATCAGGGACAAGCATCCCAGGAGAATTGTGGATTGGAGCTGAGAGATTGGGGGGTCGTTCATTGGTAAAAGGGAAGAAAGGTATGGACAGTGCAGGATTCCTCTGATATGAGTTTAAATAGGGAATGCGCTCCAAATGCGCTCGGAGCCCCTATTGGTCTGCCAGAGAAGAGGCTGTGTCTGTATGTGTTTCCTGGCAAGCTAGTAGTCGCTACGCTGTGAATCTAGGGAGAGGATGGAATGGGAAGTGATACCGGTGCTTCGCACCAGGGCCGCGCCGTGCGCGGAATCAGAGAAGAAAGAGAGAAAACAAGGAGCTTTTGTGTGTGTGTGTGTGCGGGGGGAGCGGCCGTCCAGGCCGACTCGGACTTCGTGACGCAGCGGGCAAGCAGCGGGGAAGTCCGGGTCGGGGAAAGGTGGGACGCGGGGACGGCCGAACCCGTACGCAGAGGCCACTGAGGGTCAGGAAGAACGAGACCCAGAGCAACCCAGCGTAAGCAAAGAAAGAGGGACGGGAGAGTGGGGCAGAAAAGTTGGTGAGTATGTCGAGGAGAAGAGCGCGAAGGGCTTTGAAGACGAGTGTATGGATGTACAAAGCTAAGTCAATGACAGACGGCAGTGTAGATTAGATGAATCTAATCTACATGAAGAAGGGAGGCCTAGATCTAGCTACGCTCGACTAGCTTGCCTTCCACTCAGGCCGGCTCGCAAGCTCACCGACCTGAGCTCGCTACCCGCCTCTTCGTCGCAGGACTTTTCTTCGTCGAAAGATCAATACCTGGATCTATTTAAGGCGTGATACTCGGCCCAGCCAGACTCGTCACCAGTCTGCCCTAAAGACGGCAATACTGAGTGGCGAGCACTTTGCCGTAGGCAGACTGGTACTTCTCAGCTCAAGCACTTGGGCTGGGCCTGAGTTTGAAAATTTTCCCTCTTGCCTATACCGGACTTAAATCTTAGTATTTTATCTTCGTCCAAGTGTAAGATCTAGACGAATCATCCATAGCTACATTTCTGTCTCTTCAGAATTTCTAATTGTTGCCTTGAGGAACGGGATACCTATACCTGGTTTAATTGGGAAAGTTAATCACCGAAGTAACCGATGCCGATCATTGGCACCCGCCAAATATTTCAGGCCAATTGTTTGATCCGAGATGTACCAGTCTGCCTACGGCAAAGTGCGCCACTTAGAATTGTCGGGGCAGACTGGTAACGAGTCTACCCCGCGCTTCGCATACCTCCAAATATCGGGGGAGGGTTGCGTGGAAAACCGGGGATGACCAGCGCCGCTACAGTGTATATTCCGGCACAGTCCCGTTAGTAAACAGCCATCGGATAGATGTGGTATGAGTAACCGTAACGGTGGACAGCTCTTTCTCTCCCCCACGCCAGGCAGCAAATGGGTTTACCAAGAGCGAGAGATATTTGAAATTGCTGTAGAGGCCACTGACCCGCAAGTCACACCTAGTCTTCTCAAAGTCTTCTTCTGGTTGTCCATCGCGTTCACGCTTGGTTGTCCACCGCGTTCACGCCTGGTGAGTCTGACACTCCAACACTCTTCCGACCCGGGAACTAAACTCTCAACCCGGATCGAAAACATCCAGCACAGAACTTTCACTTCGTTCTTCTCCTGAACGCCGTCCAATCTAATCTAAATCCCCTTGATTCTTCCGCGACCACGTCCGGAATTTATTTGTCCCAAATCTGATGGGAGTCGAACAGGTGAATGAAGTTCTAGAGGCATGCAATGGGATCCAATCCCTCACACTCTTCTATGGTTCAACACCGTCGATACTCCCCGGTCCTAGTCCCATGAAGCCGTCATTCTGGTGTTCCTATTCCAGAGAATGCCCTGGGTGGTACTAGCCCTTTCAATATCCTCCATTACCCATCTCCATTGGTGATTTGAAATGGAGAGCATTTATTATAACCGTCCTCCCCCGGCTTTCAATGGTCCACCCTCGCCGTGCTTCGCGCCCTCACCTCACGCGTCTGGACCTCATCAAACTGAACAGTCTTGCTGTTGCAATGTACATTTTCGCGAGCTGCATGGAACTCGAGATCTGGACAGCGTGTACCGTCTTACGCCGGAATTTCGGAGCGGATGAGGCGCGTTTCGTGCGTGTGCATCTTGCCAGCGAGGACTGCGACGGAGATTGGCTTCTGGGAATGCAAGGAGGACTCGATTTTGGGGATTGATCATGAGCAGAAGCATTCGACGCAAAGAAACGACGTGGAGAAATCGAATCAGTTTTGTCTCCCCTGATCACGCTTGGTGCCTGAGTCTAATGAGTTATGCCTAGCTTCACGCTGTTGGATTGTGCCGAAGGATGACATCTAATGGCCGCGGTATGTCAGTCGGCTAATGCGATCCTATCGTCCTAAGATAATATGTACGTAGTACTAGTGTTTCATTTGACGCGTACATTTGTTATCGATGGGAATTTCGGCCCAGCTGTGAAATAAGGAATAAAAGAATTGATTCAAAGCTTCATTCCCCATCTTCGTTTAACTTCGATGAAACTTCGACCTCGGGTTCAGCCCCATCTTGGATCGAACAATCCGGAACATATTCCTCGGTGTGCTCCTGGTGTACACTGGCGTGAGCGAAACGTAACGTCATTCAACTGAGATCTCGTTTCACCTCGTTCCACGTCCCGCTCTCCCAGAAAGACTAAGCGGAGTCATCTTCATTGTCATACCCCCCAAGCGGCCCCCTCATGTCCGCGCGCTGTTTGACGTCCTCACCACGCACCGCCTGAAACCTGTCCAACCATACCTCAATCCTGCGAATATTCGTCTTCACAACCTTCACCTCATCCAATTCGGCCAAATCCACCCAAATGGGCCCTTCCACCTCCCCCGCCTCCTTGCGCGCCTGATACTCCCGCAGCCTCGCCTTGACCGCGCTCAGATCTTCGAGTGGGTCGTCCGTGTCCCGAATGAGCCGTACCTCGAGGCGCGCGGCGACGTCCGGGTGCGTTGTCAGCGGTCCCAAACTGGACATCATAACCCGCGCGAGGAACCACCGCCGCCACGCGCGCGGCTGGACCTCCAGCACCCGCAGCGCGCACTCGGGCCCGGGTGTTAGGATGCGCATCGGTGACGCGAGCGAACGCCCGCGCGACAGAATGGGCCCGGGGCCGACGAGCCGCACGCGCTCCGCGAAGCGCATGATGCGGGGGAAGCGCGCACGGTCGGTGTCCTCCTTCTCCCCGTACTCGGGGCGCCAGACCCCGAGGAGGGCGGCGCCCCGGATGACGTAAGTGAGGTCCAGGCGTCGCAGTTTCGCGGGCAGCGGCCCCAGCTCGGCGGTGATGAGCTTGCAGACGGTGTAGAGGGCCAACGGGAGATCCAGGTGGCACGCTGGCAGAGAGGCGATGTACGGGATTATTTGGACGAATGTCTGTGGAGGCGGGAAGGAGAAGTCGAAAATGATGCCGCGGATCTCGGGTGGGATGCTGAGAAGAGACATGGGAGAAGAGAAAGAAGCATGGGTGGTGATTGGCCTTGTTAGAGTTGGGAGCCTCCGTTATTTCCGCATTAGGCGCCGGGCGTTGTTTGGCTACGGTGTTTGTGGTGATGGGCATCCGCGGTTTTTTTGATGTGCGAGATTGTGCATGTGTGGTTCGCTCTGATTCCAAAAATAGATGGTCACTCGAAGGCATTCGACCTCAATGTACCTTCATTTTGAAACACAGCTTTGGCTTGGTTTCAAGAGCCAGAATAATTTAGATTAGGATATAAATCAAAGTCTTCGGGACAGAATTTTTTATTTTCCCTTCAGTGTCTCGTTATTTGCTGATTTCATGTCCAGATCCCACTTTTGGAAGGAGTGGAGGGAAAACAGGGAATTCTGTCCCGAAGACTTTCATCTTCAGACCAATCTGAACATCTTTTCTGCCCAAAGTTGATTCATCCTTGAGCATTCCAAAGAGATAGCGATTGGGACCGCCGATTTCTGCTGTGATGGAGTGTGGGAAAACCACATCAAAATCAACATTCCCATGACCGTTGCCCATCACCAGTGCCACTGTTTGGGATCAGTAAGCATTATCTTGCCCTCCCGTTCTCCACGACACGGGATAGGAAACAGATAAAAAGATCCTGAGGAAACACATACAATCCATGCCCCCAACACCCGATACATCCCGCTCCCAAAATATAATTCCTTTCTATCAGTTCAAGTTGAACTCGGGCGTCGCCGTCAGAAGATAGCTTTTCATTTCGTGCGTTCGGATTGAGTTAGATTGTTCTTCGACACAATCGCGGGGTCCCTGTTTCTGAACGCCTTGAAGTGGGCTAAATTAATTTTGCCACTCATTTAATGACACTGGTAGCGAGACTTATTTCCTCACAACTACCACACTGAGCCAGCCACCGATGCAGGCCTGATGTTGTAATGGTCACACAACCTCTCAAAGTAGGAGTTTATCAAATAGCTTTGGAGGAAATAGCTTGTTCGAACCGGGACTAGGCTGTACCACTAGTTGTCTGTTTGTTTGCCTGTTTTGTTTTATCTTACATAGTTCCTGCCAGTGTTCACTATAATTATATTGTCTCGGCACCAGAGAAAATCACGCCAATATACTCTTTCCTTAGTGATGTTCAATAATTTGACATGAATAAAATTGTGTTGAACCGCGCAGATAGATCTTGTAGGCCGAATGTCCCCCGAATAATTCTGTAGCTAGCCACTACTAACCACCGCATTTGTTGTTGGCCTGGTGGTGTAGTGGTAGCGCACTCTTTCCTATTCTGAGTTTGATGTATCAGAGTCGGAGGAGGTCCCCCGTTCCATCCGGGGCCAGGCCGTGCATCAATACCTGTGTTCTTTTTGTGCCTCTTTTTGGATTTCGAGTTCCAACCATGTACAGCCCAACACCAAGCGGTCTTTTCCTTGGTGCTACTCACTCTTATCTGACATGAATAGAACTCCGAGTCGCAATATTTTTCCCGCAAGTGCATTGTTAATTAATATTCGGAGCTCCACTAATCGCCTACCCAAGATGGGCCTGGTGGTGTTGGAAATACAACCTCTCAAAGTAAAGACCGAGGTCAGGTCTTAGGAGGAGGAGGTCCCCGTGTCCACATCGATAATCAACCTTTTTTGCCTCTTTTTCTTTTTTGCAGTTCGACATTGTACAGCCCAGCAACATATATACGGTGAGATTTAATCTACTTGGACGGGTAGAACTGGGAGCGATTGGGGAACGAGTCGAAATATTTTTCCCCCCGCAAGGGTAACCAATTGCGTCGTTGCAGACCTACCCACCCAGACCGCAGCGTCGGCCTGGTGGTGTAGTGGTAATACATCCTCTAAGTTTGGGTAACGAATATGTGGACTCGGGGGAAGTTCCCCGTTTGAACCGGGGCCAGGCCATATTCCATGGTGTGCGTACAGTTTTTCACTTTTTTTTTTTCTCAATTCGACGTCAAGAATCGCTAAAACCCCACTTCGATTTGTGTAGCGTCAACGTAGGCAGCTCAAGTTGGCTCGTCCCACGCACACTAACGAAAAAATGATAACAGATATCCTATAGCCACACCACGATTCGGTACTGGAACGAAGGGGGATGGTGGGCGCAGAGGAGGTACACGGTGAAGAGCAAAGAGTACCGAGTGAGCAGGGGATACCACGAAGAAGAAAGTAGCGAGGGATAGTAGAAAGGAAAGGAAAGCGGAGGGAGAAAGGGAAAAGAAAGAGACAATTGGACACTGAGACACAGTCCGCGCTACGCATTCCCTGCGCTGCGCAGGTGAGGATGGGCGGAGCGAGACAGGCTCTGTCGAAGGTGGAATGGGCGCTGGGCTCTGAGATCCGAGCACGCGAGCGGTGTGCGCCGAGTTTGGGTGGTATGGGATTTGTTTTGGATTCGCACAGGCCTATGTACGCCGTCAGCAAACGCACAAAACCCCCCAGCAAAAGCGACCCGACTTACGGGTAATACACACCGCGTCCGCGTCAGGCGTCCTCAGTCACATCCACCTCGTCCCCGTCCCCATCACCGTCCGCGTCCCTTCCCCTCCCTGCTCCCGGCGGGACTCCCATGCGTCGCGTCCCCATCCACCCCGCTCGACGCGCGCCCGGCTCGGTCGTAGCACCACCGCCGTGCGCGCAGCGTGCCGAGTCCACATCCGAGACGGGCATCTGCGGAGTGTGGAGGGCGTTCCCGGCGCCGGGGTGAATTACGAGGAGCCGCGGCTCACGGCGGCTCGAGTCCCACTCGCGGCGGGGTGCTCTGGAGGAGGGGCTGGTGCAGGTGCGGCAGCGGGAACAGCAGCGGGTTTGCGTTGAGTGTTGAACGGATGCAGGACTGCTGGGGCAGGCGAGAGTAGCGCTGTGCATAGGGGCACAAGGGGGTTGAATCCGGCTGGAAAGTACATGGCGAGAGACGGGTGAGGAAAGGAGTTGGGGGTCACGGTGTGCGCGGGTCGGGCGTGGCTCGGATTTCAAGTTGCGCCATGACGACGGTGGCATAGTAGAAAAGAGAAGAGCAAGTCGTCTCGCGGTTCGCGCGGGCGGGGTCGTTTGCCATGCTTGTGACGTGGGGCGGTCTATGCGCTTGAAATCCGGGGGAATTGCCTTGAACTGAGTGGGCGAGGAAAGGAGTTGGAAGTTGAAAACAACAGGCCACGAAAAAATGATGTCGGCTCCCGGTCCGACCTCGCGGCCTTCAGCAGAACTCACACCTTCCACAATGCCAGAACAACACCATGGCCGCTCCCTCCAACGGTTCACTGGAAAATACAGCAGCCCTTGTACAGCCGAACACAAATCGGAACCGGCGAACGCATCTGGATCCAAGCCCTTGCTTCTGAGCCGATACCATCCTCGCTCTTCGAATTCATCCATTCTCAGATGCGGGTCAACGACATGTTACGAAGATATCGCCTCCAACGCCCTGCCTGTCCACTCCTGTTCTTAGCCCACCACCAGAATATTCCAACCTAATACGATGTCTTGGCTCCGAGTCCGACGTGTTTATTCCCGGTTCCGCTTTCCTTCTGTCGCACCGCAAAAAGAATCCCATAAAATCCATGTCTGGACCAAGTTCTACCTTCTGGATATACGGCATCCATTGACTCTCTCAGATCCGGGCTGAGCTCGCGGAACGGCGCTCTGCATCGGATAAGCGGCTGCTTCGGTGTCCTTGTCAAATCTCTGTTCGCTCTTTCCACTTCGAGCAAGACCGGCTCGTAATTTCAGAGATATCCTGTGGCGCTCTCCCATATACTCAATGGCCGATGTTTCCACATAAGCCCCGCCCAAAATCAACACGTACAATTGGCGTTCGGTGAAGATTTAAACAGTTTGCACCGGCGCACTTCAATACGTCTCACCATCTGCCAGCTGCAACAGAGCGATAGACATGGACTGAGGGCTTCCGGCGATGATAAGTGGGCAAAGAATCAAGGACTATTTGTGGCTTTCAGATTATGCCCGCAATCCATCCTCCCCCTCTCCCTCCTGGTGAATCTCCAGAAAAAGGGGAGGGGAGGGAAACTTGGCTTGATTGAGAGTATAATTAATGCTAAAATGCGGCCACTCAGGTATTCCGACCCAGAGCTTTCTGCTGACGTGTTCTGGATCCCTGTTCCATTATCATATCTACATCCCAAGGGCGATCGGAGTTAAGTTCAGGCGAACAAAAAAATTGCCTATAGCAAGCGCTATAAGTGGTATAAATAGAGGAAGGAGCCATGCTGATATGATTCGAGCCGCTTCCCCACCGCCATGGGCATTTCTCATTCTTCCGCCTGCCTTGCTTCCGCCGCGTGCGTAGTCCTCATTTCGGGCATCGTCTGGCAGAAAGTCTGCACATCCCCGCCCGAATGGATCAAAGAGCTCGATGTGCTAGGCCAGCCGGGGAAGCATAAACTGGTTGGCACCGCAGTTGTGTGTGGAGGAAGGTATGTTGAACCTAGTTGATTCCCTCTTTCCATACACTGGCAAAAGTATTGCAGGAACCGTTGTGGCTCGCATTCTTGCTGATCATTTCGACCGCGTCATTCTCGTGGACCCTGAAATCGACGATATCGAAAAACCCAAGACTCGGATCATGCAGTACAACGCTTCTCATAGTGAGACAGAATTAATATTCGCCCGTGAAACCTTCTGAATTACCTCCAGTCTTCCTCAGCCTTTTCGCTGACGGTGTCAGACGTCTCTGGCCCAATTTCGACTCCGAAATGGAGGCTGCGGGCGGACGGTGAGTGCACCAAGACGACTGTTCGATTGAATGACAGAATATGGTTAGACTAGTATACGCTGACCTCCAGTTACACTACTCCGGAATCGCAGTTCCGGCGCCTTACGGGGATTACCCGGGTGGACGCCTTCCCGGCACTGTGGCTATGAGTCGATCCACTGCACAGAAGGCGCTGTATGGACTACTCATGAAGCACCCAACGGCCGCTAACATCACGGTTTGTCCTGGAACCGTGCGCAGTATCGAGGCATCGAACAGTAACACATCTATCAACTCTGTCATCGTCCGCAAGCTCGATGGCACGCAGGTTTCTTTCAACGATATCGGTCTACTCGTTGGTGGGTCTTTTCGAGTCATTTGGAACTCAGAGACTGAATCAATCTTTCGATAGACTGCACCGGAAGGACCCAAGCAGGGATAAAGTGGCTCGAAACGGCTGGATTGTCCCTCCCAGACAACTTGCGCTGCTCTTACAAACCCAATATACGCTACGCAACTTTATGTTTCTCCGTGTCTCCGGAGCTCGAATCTAGGCTCCCCATCCCCAAATCCGCGATGAACACCATGAGCCAATATGCCCACACCCAGCATTTCACCTATGGCCTATCTGTGACTGCTCTCCTCAAAACCGAGAATAATACAAGTATGCACCCCGGCCTCTTAACTTAAGCTTCTCATCAAACTTTCAATAGTGCAAGTTATGCTAACATCCAGCGAGGATAACCTACCGCGCAGCGTGCCTGAAGTACTCCCGTTTATATCAACGATTCGCGGACACGCGCCCATCGCCCCATGGTTTATCAAGACTGTTGAGATCCTCTGTGAACAGTGTCCCAACCCTTCATTCGATATTATCAAAATACGTGCGTACTTCGCGAGCTGTGATTGGCTTTGAAACTCACTCAAACCGTAATCAGCCGACCAATCGTACGTCAGGTACCACTCCGTTCCCGCAGGGACCCTACCCTCCAACTTCATTGCGGTTGGCGATGCAAATATCCAGCTGAATCCTGTCCACGGGTAAATACTTTGTATATTTTCGTTCTTCACAATCCCAATCTCGGTGACAGACAAGGCTTTGCGAAGGTCATGTTGAATGCCATCACACTCAATTCTCTTCTCCACTCTCTTGACTCTCCCGCGCCGACCCTTCCCCGAGACTTCTCGGAAAGCTACTTCAAGAAGAACGCTGCTCGTACCGAAGGCTTGTGGTGAGAGAAAATAACGAGCCTCGCTCCCTCGCATGCTGATTATACTTGTCCGGAGGGACGCTACACGGCTGCACGGTAAGTATGCTGCCCCGTCTTCGGGTCTCTCCCTCAACTATCATCAGACTACGGATCGCTGGCCTGTGAGCCAATGGCCGGCGAAACGAGAGATATCGGACATTTCGCCCGCTGGTTCGAGCTCAAATTGATTTCCGCTGCCACGCAGGTAGGTTTTCGATTAGTACTCAGTAACGGCTTTCTGATTTAATCAACGCACATGTACACTCCAGTATAAAGAAGTTGCGTCAGTATTATGGCGTGTTCGAAATATGATCGCTGCAGACAGAGCCCTTCTTGCGCCGACGGTGCTGTGGAAAGCGCTGTGGACTCGTTCGCGCTTTTAGTTTTCAGTGAGGCTCTTCATACTTGTTCTGTCCGGTACAAAAACTGGCATGAATGTCGAATGTCCTAATGATTTATGTAGCTGCAGACACCTCTCCCTGTTCATGTTATGCCCACGCACACCTCCCATTTCTTCGGTACGTGCCGCGCCTTTTGGCGCGCAAGGTGTTTTCGCGTTAAATTCGCGCAATAGACGGTACAGGCGCGGTCAAAGCCAAGGACAACGTCGGTAAATGTTAACTGGGGAGGGTTTACAATCAGGATGACTGACGGGATTCAGTCAACATGACTATGCCGATTGCCGAGTGGGCGACCCAATCAACGTGACTGAGAACAAAAACTCAGGCTGATTGTACTTTCGCAGAGATCTCAATCAGTTTGAGTGTGTCGGATACTCAGCTTTAGTGAGTTCATTCAATCAGCTTGATTGAAACCGTTCTATCAGATTGACTGAAACCCTTCAATCGCGGTGATTGAAACCATTCAATCATGTTGAATTCCCATTTCACTCTGGTTGAGGGTGTCGCAAGATATATTACTAGTACATACTAACTACAGGC